GCGATCTCGGCTCACCGCAACCTCTGCCTCCTGGGTTCAGGCAATTCTCCTGCCTCAGCCTCCTGAGTAGCTGGGATTACAGGCATGTGCCACCATGCCCAGCTGATTTTTTGTATTTTTTTAGTAGAGACGGGGTTTCACCATGTTGACCAGGATGGTCTTGATCTCTTGACCTCGTGATCCACCCGCCTCGGCCTCCCAAAGTGCTGGGATTACAGGCTTGGGACACCGCGCCCGGCCTTTGGTCTTTTTTTAACCAAGGTCGTAGGTATTACTCTGCATCCTAGAAAACAATAAAAGTGACATAAAAGCATTTGTCTAACAAATAGTTCAATTACCCCTGCACTGGCTTTGTTTTTCATATACTTAGTCTGAGTAGGTGAGATTTCAATCTGGTTGGGGGGGTTATACAGATGAAGAAATTGAGGCTTGGAGAGACAGATTTTACAGTTCAGTTATGGTCAATACACATTTCTTGAACATCTACCATGTGCTTGTTAATATATTAATATTCATTTAAAAAGATTACTCTCTAGGCATTCTCAAGCTTGAGAGGAATAAATGTGTATGCAAATGCTCTAACTCTTCAGTATGAAGCTGCTTCACTAGCTTCAGTATGAAAAAAAGCTCATATTTCTTTCAATGTTTAAATCAGAATGTTTAGCAGAAAATCTGGTTCTTCTCCTTGGATTTCCTTCCTGAGACATGTCCAAGGATCTTAAACTCGCTGTGCTGCTCTAGGTGGTGGCAGGAACCAGCACATTCACACTGGGGCAAGTGAACAGGATTTTACAAAGGGACTATTTGCAGAGATGTAGATAGGGTCCGAAAAAGCAGCTAGGGTCAGAGTCCACCTCTGAGTAACCGAGAAGTGTTTTCATTCTTAAATAGAAAGGGTTGATGAGAGGAAGCCTTTATATGGGAAGGGAAGAGAATGGAAGGAGAGAGACAGAGAGAATAGACCATATAGAAAGAAGTGTCTGATAGGACTGTAGCCTCTGGAAGAGAGATAGACATTCCTTGTTGACCCAGCAGAAAAGTAATCAGGAGAATAAAAAACCTTCCCTCCCCTCCTCTTGCCCTGTGATCTCCTGCCACACCCAACTGGGAGGTAGAGAGCTAGGGAATCCGTGGATGCCCATGCATGTCAATTTCCTGGGCTTAGAGCAGGGAAGAGAATGGTGGAGATCGTATCTGGATGGACCAATGAAAGATACCCAGCACACCAGTGTCAGTGAAACCCTGTGTATGCTTCCAGGACAGCAGAACTTCAGAGGTGCCCCTAAGAGCTGAATTCCACATTTCTTTGCTTTCCAAAGACTGCCACCTGCTGGTCCTGGTTGTCTTGGTGCTTCCCAGCTGTTACTAAGGGGCAAGAGGCTGAATATTGGTCTGGTTTTAGGTCCGGTCTGCTGCAAGAACTGTTGTACTGAGAGGCACATGGTACTCTGGAAACCCCATCCCTAGCGAGGCACAGCTTCCTGCATGCATTGCTATAGTCACTCAAGTCCAGGTCACCCCCACATTCAGGACAGCATGCACTGTAAGTCTTAAACAGAAATGGTAGTGCTCCTGTATGAAGCTGCCCATTTCCACAGGGGTTAAACAAAGCCTAGTGACGAGCATCTAGTAATGCACACAGGCACTTCCATATTTAGTAGATGGGAGGCAAATCATCTACAAAGATGGCTGGGTTGGGGCAGATATTCACATAAAAGGAGCCTCACAGACATTGATTTAAGATCTCTGCCTATAATATGAAGGAAGACAGTAGAGAATTAACTCAACAATACCTTTCATAGGTTTAAACACTAAATAATTTCATCCTAATCTCTCTAGACTGTTCATATGAATAATTTTCACAAGTAAAACATACCTGCCTCAATCAAAAGACTTAACACAAGATCCTTTTGGAAAATAAGGGCAGAAAACATTTAAAACAAAATGAATGTGAACCTATGTCAAGCCATGCCATGCCTTAAATGCCTCTAACATATATTTGGCACTGCATAAATGAATTAATCTTATGGGAGGGATAAAAAGTATGATCCTTGATATATAAAACTGTGCACATAAAATATGCCATTTCAAGGTGCTATACTTGTCATACAGGAATCAAAAGATGCATTAAGCCATTAATCTATTTACTTCAACTTAGTTTAAGCTTCAGAATACTTTTATTCTCAACAAAATCTTCCACAGAACCTCAATATATACATCTAATATAGGCCAGGCACAGTGGCTCACGTCTGTAACTCCAGCATTTTGGGATATCAAGGCAGGAAGATCCCATAAGCCAGGAGTTCGAGGTTGCAGTGAGCTATGACGGCAACACTGCACTCTGGCCTCAGTAACTGAGCAAGATCCTGCCTCTCTTAAAACAAACAAACAAACAAAACAAAACAACAAACAAAAAAACTAATATAAGAAATGCAAAAGCAGTTTTAGGCTGGGCTGACTTCCTAGGCCCCAGCCTTTCTATGTGTGCAGGACAGTTACAAAATAACTAATGCAATCCAATCTGTTCGTTTTACAAATGAGAAAATTATTACTCAGGGGCTCTGGCTTGTGATGAACAATTGTTAATCCTACCCATACTAAATTATGTAGTAGTCAGATCAGTACATCTTTTTCATTATTAAAAAGAAATGTGCCAATTATTGACTACTTGTTAAATGTAAGCTAACCCAGAACATTTATATCCCCAATCACTTCCTTAATATCTACAATTATAGGACTATATAAGTTATTTTTAAAAATTTTTGTTGTCATAGTGACATAATGTTTTATTTACTCATTTTATCTGAAACTACCCTGGAAGGGAAGGGAGTATTTTTTCCCATCCCTTATTGGAATGACTGAAGATACTTACCTAAAGCAAAATGGTTGCTGTTAGCAGAACCAGATGTAGAGTTACTATTAGGAGCTGATTATGTAGTAATATTTGTTTGCTGAGCTGAATGATCCTGAGGCCTAGGGAAAATAATTAATCACAGAGTAAGCAGTAGAACTGATTATTTTTAAAAGAACCACTGAAATTCTGACATCTAGAAATAAACAGTAAACTCTCAGACAAACTCAAATTATCATTTAGTAAAAAGCTTGAGAAAACTAAGCATTAGGGAAAAAAATACAAAATAAAATAAAAAAATCCTACAAAATACAAAATATGCTGCAACTGCTCCTCCTCTTTGAGTATAATGTACTTAAATATTTTATTAGTTTCAGTCATACTGCTCAAGTAAGAGAGGGAGATAGGTTGGTTACCTCATAAGAGGAGAGTCAGTGACCAGTAACATCCACAAAACTTGACTATATATAAAACTTTTTAAAAATCTATCCCCTTGTAGTTATTGAGGGTTAGGGGCCAGTTTTACTCAGACCCTTGAAAATCTTGAAAATAAAAAGCAAGAGACTTCACCAAAAGAAGGGTGACAAATCAATATGGATAATAACTGATGATTAATTCTTTTTTTTTATTTTTTGAGATGGAGTCTGTCACTCAGGCCGGAGTGCAGTGGTGCGATCTCGGCTCGCTGCAGCCCCCACCTCCCACACTCAAGCAATTCTCCTGCTTCAGCCTCCCAAATACCTGGGATTGCAGTTGTGCACCACCATGTCAGGCTAATTTTTTGTATTTTTAGTAGAGATGGGGTTTCACCATGTTGACCAGGCAGATCTCAAACTCCTCGCCTCAGGTGATCCACCCTCCTTAGCCTCCCAAAGTGCTGGGATTACAGGCATGAGCCAATGCGCCCAGCCAGCATCATATACTCTATGATCCCCTTTACCTGATATGTCAAAAATAGCCAAATCTGTAGAGATAGAAGTAGATTAGTAGATGTCAGGAAAGGAAGAGTGGCTGTTGGGGGAAAATGGGAAGGGAATGACAATGGATATGAAGTTTCTCTTTAGAATAATGAAAAATTCTAAAATTGATTATGGTAATAATGGCACAATGCTGTGAAAATACTAAAATCATTATATTGTATATTTTGGGTAAATTTTATGGTCTGTGAATTATATCTCAGTAAAGTTGTTAGAAATAAAAGATAATAGCAGATCTGAAGGGCAGCAGCAATGAAAATGAAATTTATAAAAAGATACTATTTA